TAGGTAGAAAGTTCAAAACTGAATCCCCAACCACAACAAAGAAGAGTTTCCTTTTTGTTTTTTTTCTGTGGTGGGAATGTAGGATTAAAATTATTTCAAAGTCATAAAGGACAATTGAAGAAGCAGGAGGTACTCTGGGGCATGACACTGTTGTCAACAAAGAGGCCCCTGCCCTAGGCTGAGAATCTCATTGATAGTAGAATGGGTCCTCAGATCATCTTGCGCTGCACCGCTGAGCTATAAAGCATATGCTACATTTGTGCAAACATGTGTGTAAATACCTAGCTATTGGCAGTTCCACTCAGTCATCTGCTCATCTGGGCAAGCAAATCACACATAAAACATACTGCAAATTTGTTCAGATTGAGACAAGCATTTTGAAAAATTGACAACAAACATCACAATGGCTACTTGGGAAATAATGATGGAGCTGTGTAACAGTAACAGAAGATGGATCTAGTCCCTATGACCCACATGCCCATCCAGGAACCTCTTTGATCCTGGCAGTGTGATATGGTAGATTTATCATGGAAATAGGATTCAGATATCAAAGGCCAATCCACCCCCCACAAAACCCTTTCAATCATTTTTTTGATAAAAAGATTATGGAGTCCGATTTCTTTTTATTAGAGGAAGATGGGTTTGTCTAGCTGCTTGTTCCACAGTCATTGTATCATTACGCAAGAAGTTTATAATAAATTAGACCATCAGAAGATGAAGAAGATATGTTAGATTTAGCTTTTGGTTTAACCAACACATTAAGTCTCCTTTTCTCTTCCTCCTCCCAAACATCAAAAAATCATCTATTGATATTTTGGGACATTTTATAGGTCTAGACTTGTGTGACTGGTTAAACTTTTGAAAAATATCTTCGGGACTCAAACTATCATTCCCTTTTGAAAGGGAGAGAAAAGAAATTGACACATTAGTTTTGTGTCTATGAATTAAGTTCTGAACCATCTGAATAAACTAGACCAAAATGATTATGACTGAATTCTTTCAAGGGGGGTTGAAGGGGTGGCAACATTTCAGTTATTATCACTTAAGAGCTGCTTTGTACATCTTTATGTACAGGATTAGATGTAATCACATTGAAAATATAAGCAGACTCCTTGTTACTCAATTGTTGTTTCAAGACTAAATTAGATGTTGAAGAACTCATTGGCCAACTGACACCAACCTGAGATCTCTTGACTCAAGATTCATCTGATATTTCTCTGTTGGATGGGCAAATCTAATTATACTCACTAAAAACAAGATTGTTCACAGTAGCCTATAGAACAGTCAATTGCACACCAAGTCAATGATACAACACAGAAACATAATATAATATCATAATTTGAAAAATTAAAATAGCATACTAGGCTGAGAGATAATAAGGGAGGGTAGCTTTGGGATCAGAACAAAAACAAAGTGTAATTCGTATTTGAAAAGGCTGAGTCAAGAGGCACACGGTATAAAGTCAAAAAGCAGAAGTAAATCAAAAAAATCAGTGGAGAAGGAGGACTTCTAAGTCGAGAGATCAGAGGGAGATCTCAAATTAGAAGAATCTAGGAGAGCCCACAATCATCAGAGCACTCATTGAACCAATTGATAGATGTGACATTTGATCTGGACAAAATGAATGCAATTTGATATGATCACAGCTGAAGGAATCAAAATATTGATTGGCATTCCTTTACGCTTTAGTTGCAGGAACATCATATCAAACTGATTGAGGCAATGTATAGATTTGATGTTTGTAGAGTGATGGAGGGGATCTTGAGTGTACTGAAAAGGGCGACAAGAGTTTTGATTGATTTTGGACTTGGCTCTGTCTATTATATAACAACCATACCAAGAATAAAATGAATTTATTTGGCATAGTTAATAGATCCCAGAAAACAGACATTTTTGATCACTTGCCTTGAAGAGGTGGGTGATCATCTAGATGAGCAAGATCTGTAGAAATGATCAAAACCAGGCTTTGGAAGCAAATTTCCTCCTTATCAATTCACACCAGGTATTGAATCACCTGGAGGTTTGAATTCAGCTTTGATGGAAAGTAAGATGAACCCAAACATGTCCTTCGGAAGATAACAGGATATCCTGGAGTAAATCTGGCTTAGATGGCTCATAAGAATGATGGCTATTCCATGGGGGAACTCTGGGCTGTAAAATGGTCCAGACCTGTCTGAGAACGGCCAGGCTGTAACTACGGCCCATGGATGGCCCTCAGGTGGCTACCAAAAAGCCTTGATTTTGCCTTCAGCAGGTAGCCTGTGGCTTGCTTGCAGCTTTATTCACTGGCGTTCTGCTGCAGGGCTTTAGGAAATCTACCAACATCCTTTGGGTAAACCTCTAATTCAAGGTCAAAGCCGGTCAAAGGGCTAACTTTTTGACATGCACAATTTCAAGATTCATCCACTTTGAAAAAAATGACCACATCATCCTCAATACCCCAATCGGGAGTTAATACAACAACAGCTTTATATCAGATTCCTGGTCCTGTAACAACACTTGGCAATTTCTCAACATGATCTAGAATGAGACAGTCAGTGTGCCTGCCAAAACAGACGGCCTGCAGACTCTCTTTACAGACCTCCTTGAGACAGTCCAAACCCCCCTCATTGTGGATATAGAATTGTAGGGGTAAGGTTGTTGATAGTCATGATGGTCAAATTTTGATGAGGTAGAATGAATGATGATGAGAATGAATCACATTATTGAAAGTGGAAGGGCGTTGAAAAGTGAGTACAATTTTTCACATTGAGTTCTTGAATGGCAAGTGGAGCAGATCACGACACCCAGACTGACATTGTTGCTGTGAGAAAAACAATCAACAAAAGCGCTGTTTTCATCACTACCACCCTGTCCAAAGTGATTGCTGAGTGATGCTCCAGGACAGGCTGATGAGTGTGACTCAATGAGATGAAGATGAGATGATCTTGAATAAGATTAGCCAAGGCATCAAATCCTTTGCGGGTTGTTGGCATAGCCTGGCAAAAATTGTTGTGGAAATCACACAACATATTGGACAAGTTGAAGGTGATGTGTGTTGCTTGGAACCAGGGTACCAGATGGCAAGTCTTGCTAGCTAGGATCATTCAACCTCAGAGAACACAGCATCATAAACCTCTGCTGTTTGAGGACTGTCAGGGAAATCTGGTCATTGGTGGAGACTTCTTGATCCTCTTCATTGTGCAACATGAGTTCATCCAACAAATCTGGGTGAGCCCACACACAAGCAGTTGCAAGATCCTGAATCATTCAAACATGGTCGGAAATGTGGGGCATTGTAGACAAGGCAACAGGAATTGGAAAGAACACCACCAGTGAAGAATGCAATCCAGTGAGAAAGTAGACACATGGTCACACCTTCATGTATTTAGAGGTCAAACTTTAAGCTGGTGGAAACAGAAATTGGTCCAAATGACCTTTTGATGAAGCCTGATTGAGAAAATCCTCCATCATCACAAACAGACCCACATCTGAATACATATCATTTGTTCCTTCTTTATACAGACAAAATGACTGGAATTTGAACCCCTTTAGCCACTTGTTTGCAACACGTTTTGAAAATTGACAACCTCGCAAAAGAGCTTGGAGCCCTTGGGTCAAAAATGTAAGTATGCAGAGCTCTCTTAGGTAAATTTATGAGGGTGAATTCCTTTGCAGGGGACTTTGGTCCTATTGTTACTCTCACAAGGCATCTGAGGACATCCAATCTATTCATGTGACTATCTTCAAAGTGTGTTCCATTTGATTTGAATAGATTGGCATCTGGTTTCCTGCTGATTGTCCATTGTTCATCTATTGTCACCTGCGCTTTGCAGGTACTTATTGAGGAATCAAGTCTCCTCTTACTTTGTATCAGTCTCACTTATAAGCTATATATGGTGAGGATCTTGTAAGAACACCTTATTATTGTCTTGGATTGGCACAGTTGATTGGAATCAAATTCAGTAGATTGATTCTTGTAAGTGTATCACTTTTTGAACAAACTTGATCTGCTCCTCAATGTTTGTCAAGATCAATTAGACAAAATCTGGATTGGTTGATTGGAATAAATCAGATATCTCACACCTTTTGTATGAACAAGAAACCAGCCAATTGAAACCAAGAATGTTGAAGATCATCAATCAAACATTCTGATAAAGGGAATTCATCTTGATGGAATCTGATTAAGGACAATGAACAATGTTTTTTGTATAAAAAAAGATGGAGAGCTGCAGCACATTGCTAGTTTGGAAGGACATCCATGATTTTGTCAGATGGATTGATTGAATTCAAATGATGATTGGTAAGGAGGCAAACAGTTTGGTCAGATGAATCTTGGGCCTGAATGAGGGGCAGTTGAGATACATTGTTAAGTGTATTGTTGATATTGTGGAATTCAAATTGTCAACTTGCTTAGACAAAAATCTTGGATCTTGGGAAAGATTGATAACTGATATGTTACCTAATAGTGGATGTTGAAGTAAGATTGGGAATGTGAAGATTTGATCAAAGTCTAGAAAGGCAGAACACATTCTGGCTTCCTGAAAAATGTGCTGAACAACTTTGTGTATTATAAATATAATGCAACAGACAAGATGAGGTGAATTACTTGCTCATTCACACCAGTCAGTTGAGACAGTACGGACCTGGCCCTTGTCTCTATTCAGCAATTCAGCATTGCTCTTGATGGTAGGTCAAAGTTGACGTAAATACTGTTGTCAATTGCTACCACATGGCCAATCACCACATTATGGGTCCTCTACACTGAGAACTGCCTTGAAGGCGCCCTTGGTATCAGGATTGCCATGCAGGAAAGGCCTGACATGGCAACGTCATTGGAGATATAGCCAGGTAAAGGAGATGCCAGTGATCTGCATAAGTCACAAATTACCTTGAATAGAACATTGAATCAAATTTGAATCTATTGTCTTTGAATATGTCCTTGGCCTTTCCAGGCTGTGAAAATTCATTTCATGCAAGCGCAATTGAGACAGCAGTCTGTTTTCCCCTGTCATGACAGGCTAGGAGCACCACAGGAAGAAAGTGGCTGTGATTGATGAAACAGGGTCACCATGGGTTTTGATGCTCCTGACTGAGATACCAAGTCCAATAGCTTTCAATGCTACAGCATCTCGCTGCTCTTCATCAAATTTGAAGGAAATCTGTGTCTTGGGTGAGGCCATGTCCAGAACAGGTGTGCTTTGTGGCAAGGCACCAAAGGGCGTAGGTCCTTGTGCTGTGTCTGCGGATGATAAATCACTACTGATTGTAAAGGTTGTGTTGCAGGTTGGTCTATTGTTATTGTCAATGTGATCAGTTACTGTGGAAAGTGAACTGTCTGTATTGTTGACAGGGCTCTGGGGAGCAGTTTGAGTTTGTAAATGATTGTTGTTGAGATTTGTAGTGCCATTCAAAGCTGTAACATGTCATTGTTGCATGGGATGAGGTTTTTGGACAGTTTCCTGATAGCTGATTGTGTGACATTGAGGCAATTTCACGGTGAACTATAATGGTCTCCGTAAAGAGTGGTTGAGGGTCCTCAATGAAGAACAAATGGAGACCAGATAGAACAGGTAAACCTCACAAGGTACCTTTTTTGTGTGAAGGGTCAAAGGACTTTTGTTTGGAAGAGGGGTTTAGGTCCTGTGGAATTATCAGTGTATGATTCTGGGCCCAAAATGTGCAGTAGAACACGCAAAGTCTGGTTTCAAGACACAATTTCAAAAGAAAGCATGGTTAGCTAACTGATCCTCACGACCCAAAAATGTGATCAACTGAAACCAAATTTTTTGGTCGCTGACAGGAAAATATTGTCATTCATGCTTTCTTACATGTGCCAGTAGCATTTGTTGATGCTGGTTCAAATTATCAGGTTTGCTATCTTACCTTAAAAATGCCACTCACTGGTACACTCTACAAGGAAGCATCAACTCCAATATAGTTAGGTATTGTTTGTACTTTTCATTACAAGTTTTCTTGAGTATCCAAGGGACTTACTGTTCCTGTGGCCTAAATTTATGTGTTAGTAGCTGATTTTGAGTCCAACAAAATCACAATGGCAAAAAATGCACACTAGATCTTTGTTGAATGAAGGAAACAAATTCAATACGGAGAAGGGCTTCAAATCAAACAGGTCTGCCCCCTTGAAGGTTAAGGCAAGAACTGGGGACAGATATATTGAATATGCCGGCTGCTTATAGCTTATGGTGTCTCTACTGGTTGATGGTGGTCTGGAGGAGCTTGGTTGTAGTTGGTGCAGATGTGAATGTGTGTACACGGCTACACCCAAGCCAGTCACGAGTCTCGTATACTTTTTTGATATATAGTCCTTGCTCCTCGGCGGAAGCGTCCACATCATCATCTGTGCGGAATCCTACCTCGTGGCACAGGAAGTGATGTGCCCATTGTCTTATTTGTCATAGTAACGTCAACTGACAGTACAGGGATATTGGATTGCCCGTCCATTTTCCCATCTTGAAGAAATTTACCCGCAAAAAGGACAAAGACATCAGCGCCTATCATTGAAAGAATGATGTTTACGAAGTGCCTGATCAAGGAGTTAAACCCAATCACACCTCTCAAGACAATGAATACATCAACATGTTGCTTAATTATGACAGTGATTCCAACAACCCAAATGACAACTTGGCAATTGTCATCAAGTCAGCAACACTAGCCACCTTGATTGGGAGTAAGTAGACCAGGATTTCACCAGAGCATGCAGATGCATCAATTTGCCTGATCAGCAAGTTAGCTTTTTCACTCAGTTCCCCGTCACCCTTGGGATTTGATGTCTCCTTCAATGCTGATTGAGCACAAGCCAGATTTTCGTCATGCTCAGTTGTGGCATGGGGGCAATATTTCGTGGAAATTAGCAAGAGGGATTGAACTGAAGATTTTGCCCTGACCGCAACAGGAAAACAACCCTTGGTATAATGCCAAATGACATTGCCATCTGGAGCCATACCTCCAAACTTCTAGGCATTTTCTATACCAGGGCAGGGCATACATGTTTGTCTGACACTTAAAGCCTTCTACAGTGTCACACTTGCCATCTCATTGATGTGCGCGCTAGAGAACCTTCAACACAATTATCCTTTGAATTGGAAGACTCAGCCCTCATCTTGACACATCTATAACAGTGTTTAACCTATGAAGACTACTTCCCCAAAATGTTTGATCTCCAAGATAGAAAATCCAACCAACAATGGAGATTATGCCTTTGTACCAGAACATGCAAAGACTGTTCAAGCACAGACATGATTCCATGGTCAATGTGCCTTCCACATACAGTCATAAGCCTTGGTTCACCGGGATTGTCTCAAAATCATTAAATGCCAGCCAAATGTCTTTGAACTGTGCAAGACTCGAGGTAGAAAGTGGTGTCATAGGAGATTGCTTCTTACCTCAAGGGAGCCCATTCAGTGTGTTTCAATGCAAACTATCACTTCATGAAAATGCAGTGCATCTCCCCACTCCGCCCTTAAGGCACGTTCACTTAAGGAATTTCTGACCAGAAATCACATTCTGTAATTTTTTGAATGCAAAAATGTAACATGCCCCACCAAATAGACATTTTAAATTTTGCAGAATGTGATTTCTCACCAAAATTTGCTTGAGTAAACGCGCCCTTAGGTCTGTGACAATTTTTCGAGCTCAAGAATGGTGAAAATGGTTAAGCTTCAGACTATGATTGATATCTATGCCTAGGAGAATCTGGGCTGTCATCTTGTGGCTGAAAGAGAAGGCAAGATGGATCCCAATTTATACTCCAGTTCAACCTATGAGCTTGCCAGAAGGATAATGATGATGAATTTGACAAGGAGTTTAACACAACATTGGGGGCCTCTTGCAGAGGGGGTGGGTTGTGGGAACTCAAGCCGCCAAGGGAGCAAAGTTGAATGGAAACAAACAAATGTAGGCAAGCTCCTAAATTTGTTTTGTCACTTGTTCTGATCTTCTTTCTCTTTCCTATCTGCCCATGGGAGCAAGAGTTTGCTTCGGGAATGCTTACTGCCAACCTACAGCAGACTTGAATCAGTGATCTGTTGTTGTTGGTCACATCTTTCATGCTCCTCCATATCACATCACTGTTTATGATGGGCTGTTCAATGCCATCAGCATTGGTCAGAATGGTCCTATACCACTATGGGTCATGACAATGATACTGATGACACTCTAAGGCAACTATAGAATCAAGAAGCTCAGTCAGCTCTGAGTCATCAACTCTGAGATTTACAAGGGGCAAGAATGAAGCTGCTGCTGAGCATTCAACTCTATATAGACTTGAATTGGCACTGTCCCACATTTGTACCACATCAGGGGACTCTTTGGCTGAAACACAAACCGTATTTGGCTTGATTGTGTCTAACCAATTTCTTGCTGACAGGTGGCAACAAAGCCTGGAATTGATTGAATTACAAATAACTTTCAACAAAGACTGCAAAACTGATTTATTTATCCATGATGAGAAATAAGTGAATCTAGTGATCATGCCCCAAACAATCCATAACTTGTACTGGAACACAAGCCTGGATGCCAAAACATCTGTACATGTTTTGGATACAGTCCGTGAGGATTTGATGATGTGTTGGTGAACCCAAAGGGTATTTCCAATTGACTCTGCAAACAGAAAATGTCTGTTTTCTATGGAGGACGAGAGTCGCGAGCAAGGACCACCTCAAACGTGTTGTGCACAATGCGTTTTGCACTGTGCACTACACATACTATGCACTACATTGTGGTGATAGTGATACCAACGCTCGAATTCAAACCTCTACATACACCAGGTTTTTCTTATTTTGAATCAAGAGGGGCACAACCCGGTACAACACAGTACGCTGGTGGGAATTCAATCCACTTTTCATTGGGAATGTCACTATCTATCGAGTCCTTCAATCTTGATTCTTGACACCACAGCAACTAGAGTCAAACTTGACTTAGTCAACGCCAGCTCGCCATCAACCCCTCCATTTCTGATACCACCACAACTAAACTCAATCACTCACTACGACACCAGCCGGGGTGCAGGAGACCTGACTGGATTCAGGCTCCGTTCCCTTGGAGCTTTTGATGAGTACAACCGGATTTGTAAACATCAAAAGCTCAGGTCAAGTTGTGATCTCAGCATCGCCACCCCACTAGCCAACTTGAGCAACAGCAAACCACACCGTTTACCATTTTCAATAGGTTTTTGATTGATTACAACTTGAATCTAAAACAATGGCAAAATCATGTTCCATCGGAGTTAGTCGCACACTTTTTTGAACTTGAATATCTATTGGAATACTTATTGGTCTATCATCAGGTTAGGACGTCTTCAAGCTAAACTTGGTGCCTGAACCCCCTGCACTTCTTTGGCATACCTACCAACACTTTTCTTCTTTTGAGAATTGAATTTGTTTAGTGCGATTTTGAGGCCTTGCAATCGCTTGAATTCAACCCCTGGCTCCATATGAAGGGGTTTTTGTTAGCATGCTGGGATAGCTGATACGGTCGTATAGAGAGGTTTTAAGATTTCAAGAAATTCTTTTATATCTTGTCAAACTCGAGGGAAGAATCACTTTGGTGGGTAATGTTTTACTATGCTTATGCTTTCCCTTGTCATTATCTTGTTTGCTTAGTATCTAACTTAGTCTTCATAAATCATTACCAACTTTATTTGTTGCTTGAATCAATCTGAGGGAAGGTATTGTTTTGTGCGTACTTTCAAATATATCTCTTGGGTTCCTCGCCACACTTATTCATCCTTTCCTCGTTCTTCTCAGGTCACTTGGTTCCACAAATCCTTTTGCATACAATTATGTTTTATCAAATTCTTGAGGATACCTTCTCCAAATTTATTATCAGCAACAATTCATCATTGTTTTTTATCTACAATGGACTCAACAACTCTGCCAATGTGTGACACGTGTGCAGAAAAGAATATCCTTACATGGATCAAACAAAACACCCGACATGTGAAGCCTGCCTCTACAACAACAAGCTTGCATCAACTGATAATCCCAGTGCTTTGCCTCCCCTGAAGTACTGTAAGGATGGCTGTGAGATCAAGTCGGGTTCAAAAGCTGGTACTATGTGTGGGGGATGTAGGAGAAAAAGTGAACAACCTCATCATATTATGTCCAATTTCCAGCAAATGCCGCAATCCAATTTTTGCCAGATTAATGAAGTCAATTCGCGGCCAGCCAGCCAACCGTTTCTTGTCGACGACGTTGACCCAGCAAGAATTTTGGCAATCCGCTCAAAATTTCAAACTCCTCAACTTCCTATAAGCCAACCTGCTTCTATGAACGCTAGTACCTCTCTATCTCGTCACTCTATCACGCCAGCTCCTGCTGTCCGACAGGAGAAACAACCAGCAGATAATCCACCGCAATCCCAAAGTGCCTTAGTCGGATCAGAACAAGATCAAGCGTACCTGCACGGAGAAGCAACCTCCAAAAGGATTTGTCTGGATCAAATTTGGGAGAAAAATGCTCGCAACACACCACAATCAACTGCGATTGGACGCCACCACCACCAGATTTTGCAGAATTCAGCTGGACCAGCACCAGTTACGAAACAGATTGCAGTAAGGCTCAACTATAATGCTTACAATGGGCAAAAGCCACATCCTATCCCAGATTATATGCATGATATTGATTTTTTGCATCAAGACTGGGATTTCAAAATCATGCAAGCTGCTACCAAACACTTCCAAGAAAAATTGGTTGAGATATTTCCAAGGAATGAGGAGCTTGACATCAATCAACCTGCTCTTCCACCCTTTGACCCTTTATTTTACTCTCTTGGTATTGGTGCTGGAGAGCTTTCTGGAGAACATCTGAAGCAAGAAATCATATCTCCAACCAAACACCACAAAAACCAGCGTAACATCAGAGGTCTGGCGGCTGTCTCTATTCTTTGCAGCTGCAACCTCTGTGGCTTCCATCAATACATCAAGCTCCATCTCTGACAGCAATTTTGCAGCTGAGGATAATGGGCAGTCATATATTTACGTTAGTTGACTTGCACTTTACTTTGTACTAATTGAATGTATTTTAGTCTTGCATATCCAGATCCTAAAAACGTCTTCAGAATTCTCCACTATCATCAAAAATACATCAACCAACAATTTTGTGAAAGGTTCAATCAACACACCACTGGAAAACAATTTTTGAATAGCCCAATTATCAGGAATTCAAATTGGTCTGGTACCATATCAAGGAGTGTTTCTCTGGCTGTCCAAAGGATACATCAGCTTTCTGGCCAAGGATTCGACCCTCTTAAAGTATCCAACTCTGTTGTTGTGGCTGCCCAAGAGCAATATGACATTGCAAATACACCTTTCTCTCAAGAAGTCGCAACTCCCCTGCCTGATGGTCATCCTGCTGGCAAAAATCAGACCATTACAACGATCTCATGGAGTGATGCTCTACAAATACAGCTCGGAATAGGTTAAGCCACTTGATTGTCATGAGTTACAAATGAAAACTGACACCTTTGCTTTCTGATATAGGACATCAGATTGCTTTGTTCGCCCCTTCTTGGATTTGGTCCTTTGAAGGTATCTTGCCAGGTATTGACAGCAATATAAGAGAATCGAGGAATGCAATCTGTTGGGATAACGCCATACTCACAGCCCTTGTCAAAAGCAACACTCAGTCTATTCAGGAAGCGACCCTTGCACCTCTTGTCTTTGGTCAGTGGAAGTTTTTAGCAGAAGTCAAGCACAATGAATTAATTGGTAAAGGCAAAAGGCACCGCACATGTCAGGCAACTTTGCTTATTGATGGAGCCTGTTGTTCAGTGGTTGCGAAGGAAATAATCGGGTGTACCATCAGACCTCATGCTTGCTTGAACAATTCAAGCTGGCCATGTTTGTGCAATACGATGTCACGATTGCTCAGAAGAATATCTTGAACTCTTTACAGGTCTGTCTTTCTAATCAAGAAATTTCCAAAATTTGATCCTGATCATGCATTTATCGTAGGCTGTTTTTAATATGGGCATGGTAAAGGACAACAAATGGTATCAAATTGAAGAGCACCTTGATATTCCATAGGAAGTAATCTGCACCCCCATTGATTTTATCCAGCAAGCGCCATGGTCATTATTATCTGATGCTCTGCACGCGTTTGTACATTACATGTATAATTACTTCAAAGGGCAAGCACTTGTTTGCAATATCAAGACATTCAATGGACGCTTGACTGGCATGCGTATGATGGATCAAAGGTTAGTTTTGTATTGATCCAATTGGAATGATAGTATATATTTCTGACATGCACTTTCTCAGGTTCCAGTGGTCTACAAAAAATGAACATCAGGATGCAATTGGGGCATCGCTGTGGAGAATTCTGAAAAGTTCTGAAGCTGCAATCAGCTCACTTTGAGTATCCGATTCCTGAGGATGAGGCTGATAGTGCCATAGATGTGCCCATTGATCCCATCTTTGAAACACATGAACCCACCCACCCAAAAAGCATTTCTGCGCAGTCAGAGGCTGAGCATGATACTGCTTGATTTGTTGCTTTTAAGACTTGCTATCTATTGACTTTGTTATGAAAATCCTTTTCTCTGTTGCACTGATATTTGTTCAAAAAGGAAAAAAAATTGGTTCCACTATCCATGTAATTCATCTGAGATTGCAGACCAGATGATTACATAAAATTTGAATGTTGTCAAAAAGACTGATTGAAATGTGTGAAATTCAACAACAATTACAATTGGTGCTAGTTGATGTGCAATCAGCCTTTTCATCATGATATCTATTGTATGTATTTCATAAGATCTGTTGCTATAGAAACAGAACAACGGATACAAATAAAACTGTTGGAAAAAAATCATAATCTATAAGCTGATTGAATGTTGCCTTGAAACTACACATCTGGTTGATGCCCTACAATAATTGGCCCCAATCTTTGTTTGACCTCATTGTCAATGTCAGGAATCAATTCCTCTTGATGTCTGGATACCAATCGAGCTTCATTAACATCAACATCTACCAATTTTAAAGCCTCTAATATTGGTTGAAAAAAAATCCTGACAGTTTTAAATGTGATACTTGCGCGTTTGATAACCAAGCATCAAAGAGCACTGTCAACTTGTTGTTCAAAGCGCTTTGAAGAAACATAAAACAGAATTTCTGCATCAGGGAAATGTCTTTGTCCAAGAGCCTGTATGGTTTCTTTTGGTACAGGAATTAGGCCTTCTGTGGCATTGTATTCCTCAGGTGATGAGTAAATGACATTAAGAATAACACCAGTTGGAAGACCTGCATTTTGATTTTTTTGGGTGCGTGAGGTGTTCTCATTTTCAGTGTACTCATCCAGGAGTTTCTGCACAATGGGGATCCAAAGATGCAGAAAAAGCATCCTCAAAGAGCAGGTTGCACATAAGTATCAAAGAAAATGAAAAGTAAGATTGACTGACTCACTTCTGCAGGGCTCACACTCATCATAAATTCCCCTCTTTACACCGTCCTCTATCTCATCATGAATATTGATACCAATTGCTTTGTGTACCAGTGACCAAAGACTTTCAATCTTCTGGTTGCGTTGAGAAGTTGTATATAGATGAGTAGCTTCAGCTTCCTCAGGAGTTAAGCCACCATATATTTGAGCAAATGACATCTGTAATCCTGCCATCTTGATGGTCTCAGTTCCATGATTGGTGCAAGTCTTTTGGGAGATACCTCCAAACTTTTCGACAATATCAAGATAGTGATAATCAATTTGTCGCGGATCATTATTGTTGACACCAACATACAAACCCAAGACCTTGCGAGACCATGCATCAATGAATCCATAGACTGTAATTCCAAAAGGTTTGAGCTTGTCATGACCCCCAGTAGACCAGACATGATTTGGACCATCAACATGAAATCGTTGCCTCTGCAATCCAACCCTTCAGGATCAATTTGATGGAGCAAAGATCTAACAGTATCTCTGTTGACTCGGATGTTATGTATGACAGCCAAGGCATTCTGCATGCGCCGGTAACCAACCAGTGTCACAATGAGAACCGGCCACTATGAATTGCATTTGTTCAATGAGATATTCCAGAACCACAAGCCCTTGTTGAATATCAACTTCTTGCCAACTGATGGATAATTCTTCAGATATTGTATGCAGATCATACATGTTGATTGAAATCCCTGTATTGCCCGTAATTTGAGTAATGGTGTCCTTCCTCTGATAGCCTAGTTTGTTAAATCTGGCTAAATGTGCTTGAACTACTGATTTATCTTGCGGTGAAAATTTACTATAGGCAGTACTAAGACCATACTTCCTAAGACAACGAGTCAGAGTGGTTCGTGATGTAGTGATACCCATGCCTTCAAGGTGAGAGCAGATCTCTGTTCTTTGCATCCCAGCCGCAACACATTGGCGAATGGTCTCTTCTTCAATCTCTTGAAGATATGCCGGATGATTGTGATTTTTCTCAAATTCGCCATCAGAGCTGGTTTGATCTTTGTTGTGAGGTTGCATTGTATGTAGATTCAGAGAGACCAATGAAGAAGACAATCACACAACAGAGAAACACAAGATATCTTTGATGAAGTGTTGGAGGACACAAGATTGGATGAATGGCAGATAGATGAGCACTTTGCAACACATTATATACAAAAAAAACCTCCTAAAGTGCGAAGTAAGTGGCAATGAAACTCCTGATGAGACCTTGCTGCAATCTGTTGCTGGACCGACCACAAAAGGAGTTAAAAGGGTTCTGCAAGCAACAAGTCAAGCCTTTAAGAAAATTGAATCAGTGATTCAATTGAACCTTCAACTTCAAACCAGGCTAATACGACCCTGGCAGTTGAGTGATCAATCAATTGTTCGTCAAAGAGCCATCAAACGGCAAAGCAATCAAGCTTGTATCTGATTTGCCCACCAGGCCTTATCGGCTTATCTTGTAATGCGTCTCTAGAGAGATTGTTGGTGGGAATCCTTAGGAGGTTGATCAATTGATTCTGTTGTTAGCTATAATTCCAGATGTGTCTGGGAATACAGCACAGCGGGTAGTGCACATGTAGTGCCGTTGCATAGCGCACAACGCATAGTGCACAAGGGTTTAGAGGTGGTCCTCGACCGCGACTCTCGTCCCCCATAGTTTTCCCTCGTGGGCATCCACAACAACGGCATCAATGCCCGTGAAAAACTACCACTTATAGGGATCTTCCCAAACTCTTGTGATCATTCCACATCTTGCCAACTTCTGTGAGTGTTCCGAAACCAGGGAAACTATCAAAAAGTGCTTACCAAATTGATGCTGGTCAACATGCTTGAAGCAACTCCTGGTACAGATAGTTCTTCAAGCATGTTGAATCAAAAGAGGGCCCTCAGTTTTGAACTTAATTTTGGGTCAATCCTTTTTGCATGAGTGCAATCATTTTCCACCATGGCGTCATTTTTGCAGTGAAACATTCTTATAAATACAGTGTCAGAAGTTCTGCTTTGGACAAACAATGCAAAAGGTGTATCCATATGACTAGTTTGTTCCATTCCAAGACCCTTGATGGGATTGATATTGTTTTCCTCATAGAAATTCATCAAAGTCCATAATTCTAATATTGTCCGCCGCTTCACAAGTGTGAGTACCGTGTAGAGCAATACCAACAAAGCTATGATATGATCAAGGATTTGGGGCAGGCATAACAACCACAAGATCTGAATTCAGTGGTTGTGGGCATATACCCAGCGGGCTTCAAAAGATACTTGAACTCAGGTCCCTCATTTACGCTCAGAGATTCTGTTAACTGACCAAAATGGCTTGCAATCCAACATATTGATACCAGTGAGCTGGTGGTGTTCAATCAGTGGGTCAATTGAGATTTTTGGATGCCTTGAACTCGCTTGGATTTGATTTAATTGATAACAATAAGCTAGATGTGTTTGACTAATGGTTTGTTTGTGATCTACTTGAATGAAACCAGATCCAAGTCAAATGAAATTTTATTGATAGACTGAAGGTGAATAATCAATGGTGTGATTTACAGATGACTGTAATTTCACATTTGTAGTATCCCTTGATGCTACACAAAAGTTTGTTTTCACCCAGTGGCAAAGAAAACTATGTTGGGCAGATAAACCCAGCACTTGTGATTTTCTTTGCCCAGGTTTTTTTGTCCACATGAAGAAGTGGGAAAAGACAACCTCTTCAATGGGCAGGAAGTATCTGTAATATTTGAATGCTTCAACATCCTCCTGGAATACAGGTTTACTTAAAAATTATGCAGCCTTATTCCAATTTGAAGTATGATCTATCATTATGATTACATGCTCCGGAGTTTGAACAGTTGAAGTTTGAGTGATTTTTGAATTTAGCCACATCATGTATAAGCATGTTATTATGATAGGAATCTTTATTATGAGGTGTGCGTTAGCTTGAATCAAACTTGTCCAATTAGATCTCATTCATAGTGATTATGTACATATACCAAGAAGAAATTCATTCGCTCTCTTAATCTCCATCCTTTGTTTTAGTTATGTATCAACGGATTCCAATAAACATCATACAAAAATCAATTGGGTATTGGTGAAGATTGAGGGATATGTGTGGCAACATTGATGAGTATCATCAGAAAATGCCTGTGCCCATATAGCCCTCAACCTTGACTAAAAAAAGTCAAATCCCATGTGTGTAAATAAGTCACTCCAATTTTTTTTACCTTTCTTTGTAACAATGATTGTAGAAAGGAAGATTTTTGTACATAACTATGAAGCTCCTTGAACATAACTTCAATAGGTGATTTTTGATGACACATGCCCGTGATATTAGATTTGCCTTGTCACCAGCTTTAAGGGTGAAGTTGAAAGACTTTGTGCTCTGCCCATCATTGTTTTTCAGTCTTTCCTGCCTCACTTAATATATGTTATTCTATGGAAACATGTTGTACAAATTAATAGGGTCAAAGATTTGTGGTCATGGAAATGAACCAATTGTTCTGTGAAGTATTTGTGCTTTGATAACAAACAGTTGATTGTATGGTGACTTCAAACAACCCATATATCTCATAGTGTAATTTGGTGGAAGATTATTTGCCCTCACCAACATCATCTGATCTTCACACTTGCCCATCTATCTTAGATTATCACTCCCGCATTGTGATTATAATCAAGATAATTATTGTTACAAGTCTCTGCTGCTGGTCACAGAATCCTTCACTTTTTTATCTCAGCTCCAAAGTCAAAACCAGATGGTCCAAACTCTATCAAATATTATCATACAGAATTTCTTCTCTCAAAATGGCAAAAAAGTCTGAAGCGAATGCCATTGGCTGGGTACCGCAAAGCCGAAGTGTTCACCAGGTTTTAAACACTGATTGTTCCTTGAAGAAACGCAAACACTCATAGGATTCAGAAGCTGTATGTATATAGAATGTATGATTACTTTCTTAACAGGGTTCACCCTAGACTTACGCACATTCTTTCAACTTCTAGAAAACAGTCAAGACTTGGGGAAAAAAATGATATCCTCCCTGGAAGATCGTGGTATTTGAGTTGGTGCCAAAACTCAACGTAGCTGGAAACTTGAGTTGCTGCACAAGCATGTCAAATCAAAGAGGACTAGACTAGAAAACAAGAAAAGAACTGTTCAAAGTTTTTTACATTATTTTTGAGGTTATCACATCTACATCACCCCATTCTGATGATGAAAGAATCACTACCTAGTAACCATTTGCTTAAACCACGGCAAATTCACCTTTGAAGTCAATCAACAAGAAATACCCTCGAAATACGTACCAACAGGTGTGTCTGCTTCTCTTTTTCTGTTGTGATTGGACTTTGTCTGATCTCCCTCAAACCTCTGTCATATAGAAGCACCAGTGACCCAAATTCTGCATCAGCAATCAACATCAATACCTCAGCAATCATCATCAACGGCACTACTTCCGAGCCTTGAACATAAGCGCTTTTTGTACCCTTGTCCCCAACCTACTAATTTATCTGCTTCTGTTGTCGACAAAGGGAAAGGGAAATCTAAAGCTCAATGTCCTTCTGAAGGTGAATTCATGCCTTCCAATAATGATGAAGATACAAGCAACAAGGAAGCACCTCAATCCAAACATCAAACATCAGATGTGAAGACAAACAAAAAAAACATATACCTGAGAACATTACCTCCCCAAAGCAATCCAACAAAAGGACCCCTGAAAATATTTCATCATCAAAGTATATCCCATTTCCTTCTTCTCAGCACGCAGATCCTTCAGAAGATGTTCTTGGAAGAACCAGTGAGATAGGATCACATGAATGGGTTATGGCGTCAATTTGTAAGTATTTCACTTGTCATGACTACTGATATAAAGGATATATATGATAATGACTGTTTGTATTTCGTGAATGCACTTAGTTCAAATGAAAAGTAGATTCATTAAAAGAGACAAAAGAATGGACAAGATGAGCAATGATTTCAATCTCCTTTCCGAAATTGTTAAAAAAGCACTCGGTAGTGAAGGGGCTGATGGGGGGAGAGCAGAAATGGATGCTACATCGAAGAAAATCAACACCTGTGGTGGTGCAGTTTCAGTGAGTTATATTTCCATCTGATTTTGCCTTGAAAAACACTTCATCAATGTCATTCTCCTCTTTTGAGACTACTTTCTCCTGGCGCCGGAGTCAATTTCACATCAATACACTGCTAGGGCAGCAACAGCCTGAGAATGCTCTTCCCAGCCCAGCAGATGATTCTGAGAAAGAGTTTTGGACCTATGGTGCTGACACATGCAGGCACAATCTCAACTTACCTGAGGTGGAGCAAACATCAGATCCCTGCTTTCCGTACAAGAATGGGCCTGGACATAGAGATGCAACACCCCAGCAACTTTTGATAATATGGCAGATGATGAGAGAAGTCGGTGTCTTGACCTTTGGCCAAATTTTTCCACTTCACCATCTTCACAGGACAACAAGTTTCTTTGGGACATAGCGTGATGAATTTTTGTCGAACTAGTCAAGTGCAGAGATTATACTGGAGTTTCTCTTGAAAGTAATGGCATGGCAATGATCAAGAAAGCAGTTCAAGCACATATCCAATCATTAGCAAACGGTAATCTGTCTTTGAACTCTGTATCATCACAAATCATCACATATTCATGTCAATCTTTTTTCAAGTCTAGATACCAAAAGCAAAGCTGGGATGCAGAACGCCTCAAGTCACAAATCAACACAATAGGAAGGACATCAAGATTGAGATATGTGAGTTGTTCTTGTGTTTTTGTCCTGTGAATTCAAGTAAATTGTCAGAGAACTAACTATTCATATTATAATAGCTGAAAAAGTTACGAGACCAAGTTGTAATTGAAAACAAAAACAAAGCCTTATGGAAACTTTTGGATATCATTGATGTAGCATGCAGTGATGTCAAGACCAATGATGAAGACTGCTCAGCCAATACCCCAAACTCCATTAAAGCACCTCTGTGTCACATTCTGAAGCTCAATTGGCGGAGCCCTAGATTAGAGTATGTTTTCAAGATGCTTGACTCATACAGATCTTAACTTGATGATAGTGTTCCCAAGACCCCCTGCTCATCCCCAAGCCGGGGTGGGGGACGTCCAAGCAGACCTCACATGCAATCTGAAAGTGGGCGCAAAAGTCAGATTCAACCTCCAGAAGGCTTGCCAATAGATTTTTTTGTGAAGACTGGTACAAAGACCTTTGTCCCAAACAAAAACTTTCACTGAAGGTCAATCCAACCCCCCTTTTAAATCTCATCATTCCTGTCTCAAAAGAAAATTTAGCTTGATACATTTAGTTTTAGATCAGTTCCTTCAAACGTCTGGAGATTTGATGCATACAGTTTGTAATGAACAAAAGTTCTGAAATTTGTAAAAATACGGCTCACATAGTCTTGATATCTCCCGCAAGCATGGTCAAAAGACATTTAAAAGGCGGAAAAAATTTGTTTTTGCATAACCTTGTTGCCTGGAAGTGATCTTTTTACATACAAGTATTTCAAATCTTGCACATCAAATTTTAAGTTCATCCATTTGATAAAACTTTACAGACCACCAACAAAAGAGTACTCCGCTGATATAGGTGAGTATTCTGTGACCACAAGACACTTTCAAGTTGATTTGATCAACAATCAACTAATTCCTCAAGTGATCTCCCATAACTATGTGTTTTTTAAGTGATGAATTGATAGGAATCAATGGAGTTGGAGCAAGTAACAGCAAGCAGCATGTAGCATTATGTACAATAGAATTCAAATTTCACACAGCCTCAGGCACGTGCTGAGCCTGACTAAACCTTCTAGCTCTCTTGTCAAATTGCCAAATGGCATATACCATTGGTTGGTCAGTGACTTATACAATTGTTACAATGTTTGCCGTCATCTAGTATTGGCGCAGGCCGCCTGATTTACATTTTTATAATCTTCTTTACTTCAATCAAATACGACTTCTGAGATCCTTTACGTGATTTTGCTTTGACCAATCTTGACTTCCAGTGTACTTGACTAAGATACAATCAAAGTAAGTTCAATTAATTTTACTTTCTATCTTCTTTGAATCAAATTCATCAAGAATGGTTTTAACTAACTCATCTCTTTTATTCCATTTAACTTCCATTCATCCATTGATATCAACTTTTAATCTACTTTACCTGATACAACACAATATCACATTGCAATATCTTCAATTCACATTGATTGATTAGATTAATTATCCAAAGGACTATCATCATAAGCATTTGATTAATCTCAATATCAATTTTTTTTGTCATTAAGAATTATTTTAACTGACTACTCCTTCTTATTCCATTTGATTTCAAATTATCATTTACTGTACCCTACCATACCTTAAATTTAATTAGATCAATTCAATTGATTACCGGAAGAACTATAGTTGTAAGTTTTCATTGATTAATTTTGATGACTATCTTCTTTGAATCCGATCACCCAGAAGTGTTTAAGACACTGGGAGGTATATTCTTTGCTTACATGGGAAGTATCAAGTCTCGCATGCCCTCAAGCTCACAACATTTGTTGTGGGTGTACCCTAGGGCTACGTGACTTGGTCAATACTTCTTTTGAAATCAATGAATGTATCTTTCAGTGTTTTCAACATGGCCTCTTGTCCATATTTTCCAAGATAGTTGTGCTCTTTGTGCAGTCTAGGTTCAAACCTACTTTATTTGTTTATCATAACTGTGGTCTTTGCTGCACGCAGCAGTTATGATATATCAGATATCAACAGATACCTGGTAGTGTGTGGGGAGCCAAACTATCTGGAAATTTTGGGATTTCTCTTGTTTGCCTTGAGTATTTTGGGACACTGTGACTGACAAGTTTCTTATTACTAGTTTTAGAAACATTTGAGATGGCTAAGAAACAACAAAAACATTGTTCCAAATTGACTGAGATAAAACGCAAACAGGATCATCAAGATTGTTTGTTACTGAAGAGTACTGAGAAGAAAGCAAACATAATTCTTCACACTCCAAAAATCATTGAGACTCCGAATGAATCAATATTATCTAACCAATTCAAAGCCCAAGCAGAGTACAAAGAGAAAATCAAAGAGAGGTTTAGTCTGCCTCCTGACACAGCCTTTTTTCACCAAGGAGATCATGGTGAAAACAATTTAATTGAGTTGAAATATGGAACTGTTGTCATACTTGATACATCAGGAATGAAGATGATTTCTGTGATTCATTTCAATGAACAACAATATATTGAAGATGATGGAACACGTGTTCAGACTGAGGCTAGTTCAAGACTCTTCAAGCAATTCAAGCAATCAATGTTGACTATGTATCAACATGGAACCACATGAAATAAAATTAGAAAGAATGGACCACCGATCAGAGTCAGGAAAAACAGAAGAGGTGATATGTTTGCAATTGGAATGCAACCCGGGTATCTTAAAGGAGGTGCTGGAGGTAAGTGATTTGTATTAACCTTATCAATTATTTCATCTTTGATTTTGTGGGATCTCAGGACTGTATCACATCAATCAAGTGACAGCTTGTTCAGTGCTACTTATGGAAAAAGATCTCAGACGTCAAAATAATCTCCCTTATATCCAGCACTTTCTAGCTGGACAATTCTCTTCTCTTGCTCTTGGTGCCTTTCAATCCAATGCTCAGCTGTGTGCTAGATACGGTAATTTTTCATGGGCTTCTAAATTGTTCTTAAACTCACCCAATGGAAATGCATTTAGAGCCAACTTCATCATGACTCGCGATGAATGGAACAACACGGTCCACAATGATTGCAATGCAACTGGGTATTCTTCTGGAATATTTAGCTTGATGAGACACTTGACAGGAAAGCTTTATTGATGTGGTAAGAAATCACCACATGGATATGCACTGCCAGCATAGATGCCTCGGGTTGAGAAATCCAAGGCATCATTGGAGGCAAATCCTCGGACAGACCTTGTCTGAGGTTTTTGCCCTGGAAATAACCTTGGATCAAAACCTTGGGAAGCTTCTGTCCGAGGTTTTGCATCCGAGGATACCTCGGATTTTGTGATCCGAGGTAAATATGTTGGCAGTGATGTGAAGGATGGTTACTTTTGGTTTCCTGATCAAAATGTTCAAGTATGTTTTGAAGCATGTGATGGTATTGTGGAGATGGTCTGGGCCACCAATGTCAGACACCAACCCGCAGAATCCACCACTCATGATTCCACGGGCCAACGTATCATCCCAAATGATGTGGTAATCACTTGATTTGGATCATCATGTCAAGTTTCAAAGTCAAGTGTTTCACAAATCAATGGAATTACAAAGTTAAAAGGTAACATGGATGAAGAAGAGTTAAAAAGCTTTTTCAAAACAAAGGTAGAAAATTATTTCATCAACATTAAACGTAAATGTCAATCACTCAGAAAAATGACAATCTTGTATCTACTTAAGAGTTATTTTGAAATTGTTGATATTAGTCATTCTTCATCATGAAATTTACTCTAAGTTTTTCTCAAATTTCTCGTCAGTTGATAATGTTGTTGAGAGGAAATCAACGTGAACGGCTGCACAGAAAACATAGATGCCTTGGATTGACAAGTCCAAGGTATCATCAGATTCAAAACCTTGGACAGAATCTTTCCAAGGTTTGCTCTTTTTGGTAGGATTTTTGATTTAATTTGTGGCTTCAGATTTCAAAAGCCAGCACCATCACAGAATTGCCGCCACCCTTGAATACCTGTTTTACGCAAAAGCATTCCAACCAAAGCTACAACCATCAGTCTTGATGTACTAAACAATAAGAATATTTGACTTACTTGGTTTGTTTGTGGGCTTGTGAGTCTGGTTCTTTGACTCTTTCTAGACATATATAGAGATTAGGGCTGATTGGGGATGTCTTTCATTTAACCTTTTAATCAAAAGGGATTCTATGAAAGACCTGGCTTTGGAAGATTGCAGTGCGTTTGGGACATGATCAGATCTGAAATCAATCATTTGGCAATTAGAGAATGTAAATCTCCATGGCTTTGGATCAGAGGTGGGGATTATCTTCCACTTGAATTACAATCCCGTAAATATATATGTACACCAGCTGATTCTTTACCTTTTCAGATTCTTTAGGTGAAGTTGCTTTCACTTGATCCATGGCTTTCTCTCTCTTAGAATATGTTTTGATCAAATCATGTCTCATCCACATCAAAGCCCAATCTTTCTACCCAAATACATTCTTCAACATATCTGTGATGAAGAAAACAAAAATAAAAAGTTCATCACACAACTCTTTCTAAGTGAAGCCATTCCCTCTCAAATTTTAGAAATGACTAGCAGTTTAGCGGCGGGTGCCGCTTTTCACCACTTGACAACATCCAACCAAATGCATAAAATGCACCCACATATACTCAAAACATAGTTATCCTCAAGTTATACACGTAGGAAGAAAGAGCGTGTGGAACCAAAATTATAATACATACAATATAGCAATTTAATAATCAAAACTTTTCATATATGGACACATGAATAAAGCTGAAGTTATCAAAGTCACTTTTACCTAAAACTCATGATGTATTTGCCCAATTCAATGAAGATTGAAAGCGGATACTATGTCAAGCAGAGATAAAGGACTGCATGCTGACAAATCACAACTACTTTGATGAAGTCTCAACAAACAGACTGATGGCCCTACACTGATGAAAAATCCAAAAAATCCAAAAAATCCACACCTAGGTACGAATCAATCTTTTATCAAAGCTGTACTTAACAAACCCCATGGCAGCACCACAAAGGTGAAAAGATGATTATTCACTCAAACACTAAGAGATGACCACAATCTGCTAGACAAAATACAAAGATGACATTGTAATATAGAATTAATATACCCCACATGATGAACAGACAAAAAAAAATATCAACCACTAAGCAAGACACACTGATCCACAGTGAACCCACATACCTGATAGCATTTATATACCCGGTCAATGACTAAGTCATAGATCCTAACCATTGATGCAAAGCATCCGAAGTTAGATATTGAATGAAGTGAAAGAAAGAAAGACTATTCGCGGACTAACAATTCCTCATGTGACAATTCAGGTCTAAAAACACAAGTTATACCATGTGCAGCAAACCGGCTGACAAAGCCCTCACCCTCCGTAATACTACCACCAACAGAATATATAAATACCATGAATTTTGAATTGCCAGGAAAAATACCCTTATTGTTGCTCAGGCCTGTTAGCATGCCATCCCAGTACTTTCTCCCATGCTAATATGA